CAATTTACACGTGCATAATCTACATAGGGCTTAGGGTTTAGGGTTTAGGGTTTAGGGTTTAGGGTTTAGGGTTCAGGTTTTAGTTTTGATGTGATTCGTTTGAAGCTGTCAGGCTGTATGTAAGCCATACTGTCAGGGTGCAGAACCCTAGTTCCGAATGTAGGATGTCTTTATGGCTGAGGAAGGTTGTGAGTCGTTAGGTGTTCCGGGCGAAGCAATATAGGGGCATTAATAACTACCTAAACTATTTTTTGGGCTGGGGTCCTTACTATACGTATAGCATATATATATATATATATATATATAATAGACCCCCCTATTCTAATTATTAAGGCCCTTAAACCCTAAGCCCTTATAGTAGCCCGTATAGAACCCTTTAAGGAACCCTTGTACAGGAAGCCCAAAACCCACTTCTAACATTAAGGCCCCTAGCCCTAAACCTTCATAGTAGCCGGTATGGAACCCTTTAAGGAACCCTTTTGAAGGAACCCCAAAACCCTCTTCTAATTATTACGGCCCCTAGCCCTAAACCCTAAACCATGATAGTATCCCGTATAGAACCCTTTAAGGAACCTGTTTAAAGAACCCCAAAGCCCTACTATAGGGGCTTAAATAAATACCCATACTGTTTTGGGGGTTCCCGTTTAGAATTATGGTAGAATGGGCCCAGAACCCTCTTCTAATTACTAAGGCCGCTTACATTAGTCTAATTCTTCAGTTCCCTACATTACCAGTGCATCGGAGCCCTCTTTGACGGAGGGTTTGGTGGGCTCGCGTTGCTGTTTTAGGAGGTTTAGGGTTTAGGGTTCAGGGGTTTAGGGTTTAGGGGTTTACGGGTTAGGTTTTAGGGTTCAGGGTTTACGGGTTTACGGGTTGAGGGTTTAGGGTGATAGCAGTAGTGGTGGTGGCAATGGCAATGGTGATGGCAGCGGTATGGCGGTCGGGGTAGTAGTCGTAGTGGTGGGCACCAGGAGCAGGAGAAGGAAGTAGAAAAAGTAGAAGCAGCCGATCTGCTGGAGTTTCAGGGCCCGCGTTCTGAGCTTCCAATTTCAAGCTTTGGCATGCAACTCTGGAAAGCATCGTTCAAACCCTGGTAGGACGCGTCGGAAGCGACACAACTGTTTCAACCATAGCAAGCATACAAGAATATGAAACTATACACAACTCAATATCATTGATGTTTACAAAGCTAATTAATTAATCGGAAAGCATCAACACACAACGAGATGGAAATCCTGCAAAACCTATAACGTCTATAAACACCTGCAAAAATAGCGGCCCCACAGCGTACCTTTCTGAAAACTTAAACCAGCCTGGACGTCCTAAGTAAGGTCACTCACACGAACCACGACACCAAGGCGCACTGCCGCAAAGCAAGCCCGGGAAGCGCAGCGAAGGAGCGGCGGCCTCGCTGCCTCCGCCCCCCCCTCAGGGCCCGCGCAAGCGGGCGGCGGAGGAAGCGGCCCAAGCGCAACAGAACCAAAGTGGAAGAGACGAAGGCCAACAGTTCCCACACGGCGGAGGTGCCACGGGTGGCAGTGCCACTTCGCAACGACTGGCAGCTTTTCGCTTCGAGGAATCGCCCAAGACTGGTGTTTGCATGGAAAGACGGGCACTGAACCCTAAGACCCTAAACCCTAAGACCCTACACCCTAAGACCCTAAACCCTAAGCCTTAAAATGGAATCGGAGATGTGCAGACTGGCCCAGGTCTCGTGAATCGGTTTGTCTTTGCATCGGACCAAAAAACCCTAAAACGCTTAACATCCTTGGAGCGCTGGATTTTCCTTCGCGCATATGTGGTCATGATCCCAAAACCCTCATGACCCTTAGTTTAGGGTTTAGGGTTTAGGGTCATATGTAGACATACATATCTACACAGATGTGTGTGTCTGTGTATGATATGCGTGTTGGATTGATTGGCTGATGAAGTTGTTTGTTCGTTGGTATTTTTCCAAATGTTAGACCCCACGCACTAAATCATTGAAGAACGTGCCTGACGTTCCTGAGCCTGGCATGCACAACTCCTTTTGTCTGATCAGTCTTTCCACCTTGAACCCTCAACCCAAAGCTCTAAACCCGCAAAGACCTGAACCTAAACCCCAAACAGACCTCCTTCTGAAACCTTACAGTACAGCCCGGCCTAAACCCTAAACCCTAAACCCTAAACCCCAAACCCTAAACCCTAAACCCGAAACCCTAAACCCTAAACCCTGAACCCCTAGGTAAACATGATGCTGAATCGAAATGCACTTGCTCCGACATCCTCCCGGTCGCGCACCCAGCTACAGCAAGTGGGTTTAGGGTTTAGGGTTTGGGGTTCTTCTACTTGGAGGCCGAGGGGACTTAGTAAGTCGGTTATCAGTAGGGTTAGGGTTTAGGGTTTAGGGGGTTATAAGTAGGGTTATAATTGGGGTAGCTCCAGTTAGGATACTTATAACTCAACTTATAACCTACTTACTACGTTCCCTGGGCCTCCAAGTACACGGGTTACTAACGATGTGGGGGAATGTAGGGTTTAGGGTCCAGGGACTATGATTGGGTCTTAACAACAGCTACTGTAGGGTGCGACGGGCTTCTATAGTGTAGGGAACATACAGTTTGGCTTTAAGCCTTTACGGACACTAAGGGGTTGACGACAGCTATTACCCTAGGGTCCAAAGGACCCAATAATTAGGTACTTTGCTTACGGATAGAAGTTATCTAGGTTAATATTTGGGAGAGTATATGATTAGTAGGTACTTGGACCCTGAGGGTTATAAGGGTTTGTCAAGGGTTTTGGGCGTTTTGGATCAAGTTCAGTTCACAGACGGGGGTTGTGGCGAGCATACTTCTATTTCCAATTCTTGTGAACTCGAGAATGTCTTAGGGATTAGGGTTTAATGTCAATCTGTTCATGGCCATTTGAGCACGTCAAAGAGCTTTGGGAGCGTGCTAAACTGTCTATCAGAAACAACAGTCCCACAGACTAAAGCCCAAGTACCCTAAACCCTAAACATAATTAAACATCAGCCTTAATTCCTGAGGAGTATTTCGAGGGCTCCCCTAAACCCTAAGCAACCAAGACCCTCCGGCGTTTGCTTGCTTGACGGCTGTAGCAGAGGCTGTGTTCAGCTCCGGACACCTCCGAAAGACTCCAGTTTTGATTTTGACACACTTTGGCACGGGGTTCTGGCGTACTTAGTCGCAGTGGCTTAAGGACAGGCGTGTTGGCACTGGTCAGGTGTCGTGATCTTCGCAGTCATTTTTGGCTCTGTATAGAAACCTCTTGGGACGTTGCTTCGCTGCGAGATTTGTAACTCGAGCCATGGGCTTTCTTCATGTGCCTTGGCAGAGCTTCGGGGTTTAGGGCTTAGGGCTTCTAGTCAGGGTTTGGGGTATAGGGCTGTTAGGGTGTGGAGGATAATGAAAATGACTCCACATGCACTGCCGCATAAACCCTAAACCGTAAAACGCTAAACCCGGAAAGACCCTAAGCCCTAAACCCCCAAACTGACAAATGCTAGTTGACGCTGAGTCCGAATCTCTAAGCCCTTCGGCAAATACTGCACAGCACGATTCCTGTGAGTTCCAACTGTCTGCTCCTTGGCTCTTGAAAGCTTTCCTAAACCCCAACACCCCCTTCAAGCCCCAGACCCTCAAATCCCGGCTAGAACCGATAGAATTGGAAACTGAATTCCTTAAACCCCAATGTAGAAGCCTAAATAACTACCAATACTATTCTGAGGGTTCCGTATTACGATTATACCACAGAGGAGCCCAAAAACCTATTCCAATTAGTAAGGCTCCTATATTTAACCCTTTGCTGTAGAATGTCGCCTGCTACTTGGAGGCCCAGGGCACTTATGAAGTCGGTTATAAGTAGCGTTATAATTGGGGTAACTCCAGTTGGGTTGTTGTCAAAATTATGGTCCCTTTTTGGGTCCTTATTATTATACGGCACCTATTATTTAGGGTACCCCAAAAGGGACCATAATTTTGACAACTACCCAGTTAGGGTACTTATAACTCAACTTGTAAGCTACTTACTAAGTCCCCTGGGCCTCCAAGTATGAGAACCTGAACCATGATAAGCCTCACATCGGTGGCGACAGCGGCGGCAGATTCTCTCTTCATAGTTGCTATGAAGACCATTGTTTCGGTTCAGGATTTAGGACTTAGGATTTAGGATTTAGGGTTTAGGGTTTAGGGTTTCGGTTTCGCGTTGCTTTTGCTAGTGCTCCTTCTGGTTTCGACTGCCTATCTGAACATCCCCCCATCATAAGGCCACACCCCCGTAGTTTTTTACCATTTCAGGCGTGTCAAGGGGCCCTTTCGACAAGGAAGTTCTACATCTCAAGGCGCTCGCACTCGTAACACCAAGCCCCAGGGGACTTAGTAAGTAGGTTATAAGTAGGGTTGTAAGTACCCTAACTGGAGTTACCCCAATTATATCCCTACCTATAACCGACTTACTAAGTCCCCTGGGCCTCCAAGTAGACCCTAAACCCTAAATCCTAAACCCAAAACCCCAAAACCCTAAATCCTAAACCCCAAAACCCTAAACCCTAAACCCTACTTACTAAGTCCCCTGCACCTCCAAGTATCATGACACCCTAAGGAGAGTGAGCCGATGTCCTGGGAGCAGTCGAAGTCCGTTCTGAAGCCGCCAGTCAGCTCGTTTTCGGTTCGGAACGTCAGGCTTCTGAGGGCTCCGATATCTTGGCACTGAAGCTTACAGGTTGGTTTAGACGGTTTGGGGTTTAGGGTTTAGGGTTTTAGGCTTTAGAGGCTTGTTTTAGAGCCGGTTTAGGGTTTAGGGTTTAGGGTTTTAGGCTTTAGAGACTTGTTTTAGAGCCAGAAAAGCACTTAAGCATGGGCTCTTGAAACCTACTGTCCTTCTTAGGGCTCATGGAGGGTTCTCAAGCCCGATTCACTCATGAGCCTTCTCTGGCACCCTGAAAACCGCCTGAACCCAATATTTTTAGGGTTTGGGGTTGTTCCCTATACACCCCAAACCCTAATCCCTAATCCACCAACACCAAAGACTCCCGACTTAAGCCGCAAAGCACTCTGAAAACAGCGACGAATCGCAGCCCGCAAGTCCTGAACCAGAAAGCCCTTCACGGCGGTCATGGCTCCTTATTCGCACTGCATGTTCATACTCGTATCATAGCATGCATACTTGGAGGCCCAGCGGACTTAGTAAGTCGGTTATAGGTAGGGATATAATTGGGGTAGCTCCAGTTAGGGTACTTATAACCCTACTTTTAACCTACTTGCTAAGTCCCCTGGGCCTCCAAGTACCACGCAAGAGAATTTGAGCGATGCCGAGATGCTGAAGTGTCCAACAGGCAAGCTTCGTCCTTCTTGCAGCAGCAGGGACCCTATTGTTGATGATATAAATCCTGCACTAACTCAAGAACCCTAAACTATGGGAATTATGGTAGATTCCTTATTATTTGTCATGCAGAATTTATATCATCAACTCTATGAGCACCCGAAAGGTCAGCCTTTAAGAGCCCAAGGTTACCAGACGGTGCCTGCTAGCCCCAACCCTAAACCCTAAAACTCTAAAACCTTAAGACTCAAAACCTTAAGCAGACGAGACAGGGAAAAAAGGTCCGTTTGATTCAGAACTGAGGAGCAACACTCTTGAAACCTGCAAATTACAAAGCTTCATGAAGATTCACCTGGCGCTTGTCGCTTATCCTTACAGCAGGACTGGCGCAGGGAGTGTGAACAGTTACTACTTTTTTCCCTCAGGGTGCCTTACATGACCCGACTGGTAAATTGGTAAGACTCCCGAAGCTGCAACCCACATTATATAGGGGCCTTAACAATTACAATAGGGTTTGGGGGGTATATCATAGTAGAATTCTAATAAGGAGCCCCCCACCAGCCTATTCTAATTATTAATCTAGGACATTTTCAGGTGGGTAGTTACCGTTATAGGAGCCTTAAAGAAGTCTATATACCTTATGGAAGCC